CTTAAGGACATTCCTGCCCCCGACCTACTAAGGAGGAATTACGACTATTGTCCACCTCATTCTTCGGCCGTGACCGCAGCACCAAGCGGCGGGACCCGATCCTTCCCGTCTAGGTATCCAGGTATACACACCGGTGCGTGCACCCTGCGCGAAGCCAGAGCCCCGTCAGCCACAGGAGGGGTACTCCTGTGTTACCGACTCACACCACGAGGAGGTGGGGTTGGCACATGGGCCCGATAGCCCTTCTGCGAGTCTCCATATGATTTACCTAACCACCACGTACTTTTTGCTCCTTTGTAAGACATACTTATGTACTAAAAGTTCCTTTTATTGTATTACGATTTGTACTGTTGTAATTCGTTTCCAGATATTGTACTTGAAAAAATCCGGTTAAGAGGTTGAAACGTTGTGACTTAAATAAATATCATTTTTTATGCCAATTTGGTCGATTTTTTAAAGAATTTGCGATCAGCGATGTCAAAAACATATATTTACAAAGTTTTAATTTTAATAAACGAAAATTCTTAGTTTTCCGCCATTTTGGGTCGCCATTTTGTTTTTTCAAAATTTCGACTTCAGATTCGTGATCAGCGACCTCAAAAACCCTTATATATTGAGTTACATCCAAATTGGATCACTTTTCGATTTTTGGCCAGCTTTTTGGGATTTGGCCCCACTGTGCGCCGCCGCCACCGTCGGTGTACGCACCGTATCAATATTTCTAGTAACTTACCATAGATGTTATAGTCATCGTTGTCTGAAGTTTGAATACTTTATGAAGATCTTTTCTTTCTAACTCCACTAATTTGTCTCGGTTCAGTATTACTATGAAGTGTACCGCCGTATCTGTGTTATACTCTTTGTAATCCCTATGATAAAATGAATATTTAAAAAAATCACAAAAAGTACTTGTACATTTTCCCATAAATTGATTAACTGTAATGCTTACGTGATGATAGCTGGCACTTTATCAGTTCCATGTAACATTATTATTATACTCTACTACCTCGAATGTGTAAGTTTATTATTGTTAATTTGTGCAGTTATGGTCGGAAATGTTGTCCAACTTCTTATGACAAGTTTCGGAACGCAGTTTATCATGCGAGAGGTTATAACTTTCTTTCACAGATATGTACAGTGACGCATTATTAGAGAAAAAGAATGATACATACAAATATCCGTGAAATTATACATATGAGTATTTCGTGAGCAGAAACTATAATTTCTGACATAAATAAACTGCGTTCCAAACCTTATCATAAACGATGGACAACCTATCTGACCACGAACGTACATGCGTATAGAAAATAAAGCCAAAATACTACATACATTGAATACCTAGGATACATAAATTTCTATATACATATATACAAACATAGGTACATATTGTGTACCTATGTTTTCAGTATCTATTCCTTCTAGGACCTTAGACAAATAGCTATATATACACAGTAAATATCGGAACGTAACCTCAATATGTCATACCGTTACATATTTAGGCTATAATTACACATTGAGAATTCTCTCTCTTTCTCTCTGAAACAATTGCCTAATCGATTTCCTCGCGGACTTTGCTCGCCGGTGGCAGGGTTCGAGGGATTAGATGAAAACACTCGACTCATTACGGTGAAAAGAATAACAAAAGAAATATATTTAACTGATAAAGAAAACGACGTAGATACACTTTATATACAGACTCAATCTAATTAACACGGTCGCGAAACGGACAGACGGACGGACGGGATATAACGACGCGGAATGAAATGGTATATGTACAAGCAGGGCCGGCGAAATGTCTTCAATCCGAGTGGGTAGTGCAGCGGGGGGAGGGGGAGGGGGAACAGGGCGTTATTATGTTGTTATTATTATATTCGGTTTATTATGTTTTTATGTGTGCAATGCAAAAACCGAAGTTCGCTTAGCATTTCGAGAAATAAATTTGTTCATAAGTATTTCTAAATCGAGCTTATCAACTGCATCTGGGTACGAGTGTAAGATTGCTATGTGATTTAGTCGATCTTGCAACATCGTCGAGCGCAAGTAATTTTTGACCCGTCGTAAAACAGAAAAGCTTCTTTCGTTAGAGCAAGATGACCCTGGAATAGTCATAAGTAATCAAATAAAGCGCAAATATTCTGAAACAAGTCCCATGCACCAATCTCTTTCGCGCATGAATTCCACAACATCTTTCAAACTTTGCGGATTCTTTCCTTTTCGTTTCATAATACTTAAAGCCATATCTTTATCACTTACTAATCTGAATTCATGAAAATCTCCCTTATAAAAGGTGACAATTTTTTTCACGTCCACTGCTTCACCGACGACGAAACGTTCTAAAGTTTTAAAAAACTTGGCTGAGTCAGTATCAAAGCGACTTTTTAAAGAGCACATAACTCGATAGATCGATCCGAATCGATGTATTTATGCGCGTATACACGCGCGCGGATATTATAAAAGTAAAAAACGACCATCGGTCTGATTTTTCTTGCTCAAATTTTCGAGTGGGTAATTACCTACCTACAGATATTCCATGTGGGTAGTACTACCCACCGTACCCACCTCTTCAGCCGGCCCTGTGTACAAGAGATGCGATGAGATGTGTGATGAGCGTGAGATGTGTGATGAATGACGGTGACGGTAACGCGGTAACGCGGTGCGCGGATTCCCGGTCGGCCTCGTGAAGCGGAGGCTTGGGTGTTCGCGGCGCACAGTGGAACGAAACCACCGATTTTGTGGACATCGATAAATTTCTTCTAAAGTATGCGTTTTTGAGAAAAATGTTTCGTATAAAAGTTGTAGGATATCAAGGGAGAGAAACGATGCTGATGTTTCTTTGACCTTGCGATGACCTTGAGAAGCGTTATCAAGGTCAACTTAAAAATCTTAAATAGAACTCTCTATTTTTCATAGCATATTCTTATAGCTTAGCTCGAGACCTTTTCAAAACACTATAATTAAGCATTTTTCATTAAATATTTTTCGAGTTATGAAGCTTGAAAATTGCAGTACCGCGGCGCATAAGACACACAACCGCCTATCCGCTCCACTATGGTTCCGTGCAGCCCATATATATGTATAGCATTCCTATATTGATAACTCAGTAGGAGGATCGAGCGAAAACATCTCGGTGCAGACGATACCCTCTCGCTCGCACAGTCAGTCCGCTCCAGCACTCCC